AGTGTCACTGGCCCTCATATGTGGGATCCGAACCGGGGCCCTCTGGCATCCCAAGCGAGTTCTTAACCATCGCGCCACTCGGCCGGCCCAAGCATGAATACTTTTTAAAATTGCTATACAACAGGGAACTTGTCTTATTATTTTGGATTTGACACATAAATTTCTCTATTCATTCTAAGAAGAATATAAATTCACCTTCTAGAGATTAACATCTTTTTTTTTCTCTTTATTATTTTGACTTTTTAATAATTCTTGTGTTTAGGGTTCCTTTTATAATATCACACAAATATGTATATTTTAGCATGGAAGTAAAAAGTGAAACACTTTTTAAAAGTCTTTTCTTTATGACTACAACCAGCTGATATTAAGAAAGACAGAAAGTAGAAACATTCAGGACTAATACACTATTTTTTTCTTTCATTTTAATATTAAACCTGGTCTAAGAAGACTTTTTTTATTTTAGGATTAATAAATTAAAATTTGAATTTTTCTCCATATAACCTCATATTTGCTTCTATGTTCATTTGGCACAAATACTCTTTAAAAAGTATTATGTATAACTCATGTATCCCTGTATATCTTAAAATCATTGTCCTCATTTAAATGTTTGAATTGTTTATTCAGAAATGCTGTTACTTAATTTACAATGTTCTCCATTGCTTTAACACTACCTACTATATACTTTTTCAATGCATGGATCCTGTTTAGATATTAAAATCATATAAAGGAGAACTGGAATGGCTAAAATAAATATTTTATATTACTTCAGAGATAAAACATTTTGATATAAACACACACACGGTTTAATAATATAGGCAAATTAATATGTGCTCTATGCTTCCTAGCATTTGCCTTGGAAAACTAATTCTTAAATAACCACCTTAGAAAATTAATTCTTAAATCAATCTGAACTCCAGGAACATAGAATATGTTTTTTAATTGTTTTCTTTTTTTAATTTTTTTTATTCAAGCTTTTTTAAAATTTATTTTTCATTATTAGTTTCAGGTGTACAGAACAATGCAATAGTTATCCTTTTCATCCTCACAAAGTAACAACCCCCCTCCCCCATCCACTGCCCTCCCACCCCTGATATCATACTTATCTATCATAATTCCATTGACTCCATTCCCACACTCTAGTCCACGTCCTGTGACTATATGTATATATAATTATAGTTGACATACAATATTATTCAACATCAGCTTCAGAAATACAGTGCAGTATCAGGCCTCTACACCATCTATGAAGTGGCCCCCCAACAAGACGTGAGTCCATCTGGCCCCCTAAAAATATTTACAACATTATTGATTATATACCCCAGACTGTCTTTTCTATCCCTGAGGCCATATTGTAGTTACCAATTTGTATTGTCTTGTCCCTTCCCCTTCTCCCTCATCCCCACCCTCTCCCAATGAGCGACCTTCAATTTTTTCTCTGTGTTGATTGTTTTCTTTTAAGTTTCAGAATTAGATAATTTTAAAGCTGCAAAAAACCTCCAACATTACTTAGTCCAATTTTCTAAATTACAAATGAGACAATTGAAGTTCAAAAACTGGAACAGCCTTCTCAAAGTTTTGACAAGTTGATGATATCAACTCAATCAATTACTATTATTATTATTATTATTATTATTATTATTATTATTATATCTTACCTCAATGTTTTTTCACCATCTAAAGCCTTTCTTATGTATACAAATTGAATTTTATAATAGTGTAAATACCTTGAAAGCAGAATACATGTATGATTCATCTTCAGGTTACGAAAGCAGACAAGAAAGTTGCTGAGTAACTAGTGACATACAACAGGGGCTTCATAAATGGTTGTTGATTATATGAAATAATACAGAAATTCTAAATTATTCTTGTAAGAAATTAATAGGTTTAGTGGTTAAATAAAATTGCGTTTCTAGTATAAATGTTGTATATGTCTCAGTACAGATTTAATGTGAATTTTTTCCCCCAAAGGGTATCTGGGTACCTGAAGGAGAAACAGTGAAGATCCCTGTGGCTATTAAGATTCTTAATGAAACAACTGGCCCCAAAGCCAATGTGGAGTTCATGGACGTGAGTATAGACAGACTCCAGGCAATCATGTTTTAGAATAAAAAATAAAATAAAATAAGACTCGACTACTTACGAACTTTCTCCTCTGCAAATGGTACAATCTTGTTAAATGTAAAGGCTTGACTGAAAGCAACAAAGGGACAAGACAAACAAATAAAGAAAGAAAAACTCATAGACACAGACAACAGTTTAGTGGTTACCAGAAGGTAAGGGGGGAGGAGAGGTGGTAGATGAGGGTAAAGAGGATCAAATATGTGGTGATGGAAGGAGAACTGACTCTGGGTGGTGAACACACATGTGATATATAGATAATGTATTATGCAAGTATACACTTGAAACCTATGTAACTTTACTAACCATTGTCACCCCAATAAACTTTAATTAAAAGAAAATTAAAGGCTTGAGCAGCAGACAGCAAACTTTTGCTTAAAAGACCAGAATGATTAGTCAGGCTTAGTAGTTGCAAGGTGGTCTCTGTGGCAACTACTCAACTATCCTTTTAGTAGATACGCAGAGCAGACAAAGGCAATTAAAACAAAACAAAACACAGGGATGGATGTGACTGGGTTCCAGTCAAACTTTATTTACTTAAACAATCTGAAGGACAGATTTGGCCTGCCCTCAAGGACCAAGGGCACAACCACTTTTCCAAGCTCCATTTGGGGGTGGTGAGGATGATATTTGAAAAGTATGCTGGAATGCTTAATTTTATTATTGTTATGATCTATTTAGTTGTACACATAAATCAAGATTAGTTTCTGTAGTTAGTCCTTGTTAAATTTAAATTGGGAAACTACCTAAATCAGATAATTACCCATTGAAATTTACTTTTTTTTTTTAATTCAAATTCTAAAGACAAGATCTTACAGGTAAAAACCCCAAGTATAAAATAAGAGAGTTCGGAAAAATAAAAGTACATATAAGGTCAATCAGAACTTTAAGATTTCCCCTAGCGAAAATTGTGGATTGAGCTGTTCAACAAATTTCAGAACAGGTGAAACTATACATGTAGCATGCTGTTATTTCTTTTACATTCAATATGAGATATCTTGCCAGGGGTTCTATCAAAGGCCCATACATATATAGTATTTGTCTCTTTTAGCATAATGTCTCCAGTAACAAAAATAATTTTGATTTTCAAATGACTTTCATATGAAAGATGATGCAAGCGTATGCACTTTGATTTTTTTAAGACTGGATTGCTATTTATTTCTACCCAGTTTCTCTTGTAAGCTCTTATGTAAGTTTTATAGAAGCTCAGTGCATGACCTTGGAAATTTTAAGTGAGCATTATGCTAACCATCTTATATAGGCTACTTTTACTTGAACTTACTATTGTTTTTTATATAATAGGGCTGATAATGATCTGACAAACCAGCTGCTCTGATTGGTTGGCACCATGACTTACCAGTTACTAAATACGTTAGATACTATTCTTGTTGCATATCTACCAACACTTAGCTAACAGACGTTGAACACAGTGAATAAGTAATGATTTTTTCTGTAGGTCTCTAGTTGTCCTGGCTCATACATACATCAAAGTGTAAAATTGAAGCCTTTTTCAGTATCACAAGCAATTTGATCTTGGTATAAATTTGGAAGGAGAGTTTTCAATGCAAGTAAAAACTATGAAGAAATTGACAGTGTGTAGAAACAGTGTAGGTTAATATGTAAAACTTATAGGGAAAAAGATCTTGCCCAGGATACACTGTAGCCAACGCTGAAGTTCACAAGAATGCTAATGATCTCTGCTGGAGATTCGAACAACCATTTCTGTCCTATTTCCATGGAAACAGAGTGGCAAAAAGGGGTTAAGAGGCTACAAAATTATCACCTAAGAAAGAAGCTCTAAAAACCTCATCATGATTTTGAATGATTATTTGAAAGCTCCTAACCCCATCCGTTTTTGTTTTTTTTCCTGATCTGAGGTCTATTCCCATGGAAACATGAGTGGGGCTGGCAGCTTGAAGTCTTAGGTTTCTGCTGAATTTTAAATGAAGCTGTGTGTGATTGAGCCATGAAAGGAGTCATTTTCCTAGGTGGTTGATGAATTGTGACCAATAGATTCCAAGGAGTCTGGGTTTTTGTTTGTTTGTTTGTGTTTTTGTTTAAAAAAATAAGGAAAATATTTTGACTGTGACTGTAGTACCTTGTGGATAGATGGTAAAAGATTAACATATTGATGGATTGCTATTGGCAGAGCATCAATAAATATCAAGCAGAAACTCTTCCTCCTATTTTCATGGGTTATTTCAAAACATTAGAAGGTAGCACAATGATTAAAACACAGAAGTACTGTGGATGTTAATGGAGAATTTATAGTATTTTAAATGACCTGGTGTAAATTTAATGCAAACTTATACCTACCTTTCATATCTACATTTTTTAGCTCATCTGTTATGTGTGTAGATCATTATACACTTTTGAACATATCAAACCATAATTTTAAAAAAAAGTTTGTGTAAGCAAAATTATTTGTAATTTTGACCTATGGATTGAGTTACAATTGCAAATATTCCCAGAGTTAAGTTAAAAGTTGTATGTTTGGCATATGTCTTAGTCCGGGTTCTTCTTGAGGCAGAAGCCAACCCTGAAATAAGGATTTGAGTGAAAGCAGTTTGTTTGGAGGTGAAAGACCCAGCAGTAGGAGAGTGTGAACAGGAGACAGGGGAGGCCTAAAACCAGCTGCCATTGTGAGTGACTGGACCTTTTTTTTCCACTGGACAGACCCTGGCAGCCAGTAGAGGACAGACACCTCAGAGTTACCCTCCTCAAGAGTTAAGGGAGCTGATGTAAGGACTCCATTTCAGCCATAGGTTGAGGGTTACTGGGAGAGAAGGGCATTTATTCTTTTGCATGTCCTACCTGCCAGGGGTGGCAAAACAGAATTTTGAGTAGGAAGAGCCATTAAGCAAAGAAAGGCATGTGGAAGTCAGCTGGTCCACACTGTGGTAGAGCATTCCAAGGATAACTTTCAAACTCAAATAAGGTCTATTTGCAACCATGCTACCTGTCTCTTTTGTGAACTAGTGTATGGGTGCATTTGTATTTCTATGTATATGTGTGCATGCATTTTATATCATTTTATAGAAGCAAATAAAGCTTCTGAAGACAATGGAAATTACATATGCTTATTAAGCATTAGACACCCCTCTCCCCAAACTTTACACTTAGGGTAAAATATTATAGATTAAATTACTGCTACTACTACTACCACTAGATTCATCAGATATAGCTGTGCTTTACTGGTTATTATAATAAGTCAGACAAATGCAGCAACTTAATACTCAAAACTCACTATATCCAACATTTCTGTTGATACCCAAGGGCAGAGGAGAGGACTTTTATATTAGAATTTTTACCATAGGCAAAAATAAATACGAAGCAATTTGTATTCTATTAAATTCTATTCTGAAAGCAAGGGAAGGAGAATTTGGTCACAAGGCTGTTACTGAGCTCACCTGAATATGTCTAATGGATTCATAATGACAGTAATAGCATACTGCTTGGGAATGACCCGTACATTCCTCATCCCCATAAAGGAAGATCACACTGAACAACATTAAGAAAATGACTCTAAAAGTCCACGTTTATGAGAAGAATGTCTCTATCTATACACACTCCTAGTTTTTATTTCAAATAATACCATTTCATTGGGAAAATGCAGGAGCTTTGTTTTATCTTTTTTTTTTTTTTGTCTTATCCATCAAATGGTACAGAACACTTACGTAAAAATTTAGGCTATTGAACAGGATTCCTGGAACTGGGGACCATGGTCTGCTCAGGTCATGCAGGCTCTTAAGTTCCTCTGAGTTTCCGCCACTCTGTTTTGTTTTTATTTTTGTTTTCCCTGATATTTAAGTTCACTATCACTTGACATTATTATATTTGCCTAGAAAGGGCATGTGTTTTTAATTTTTTAAAATTAATTTGTTTTCTTAAAAAGTTAATCTTGGGATCATTGAAGTTCTGTAATTATCCTAAATTCAAGTGACTGATGAATCATAGTTCTGTTTAGTGCCTACCTGAATCCCTTGGTTTCTGCTTTACTTTCCCACACCCAAGTCAACTCCAGCATTCATAGTCAGGTGCTGTGGGGAAATGCATTGCAAATCACCCAACCTTATTGTAGAAATGATGATTTTCTTATTAAAAGAAGAATAACTTGTTTTCCTTACCTTATACAACAGGACCTTTTCTGTAACTTACACTACTGTCATTTTGATGCTCTCTGGAAAAAATTCCAGGTGAATTGTGTTTATTTGTTTCTCTTGTCTATGTTGTTTATGATAGTGTCTTGAGGGGAGTTGTTTCAACTTGATGTCATATTAGTAAGGTGAGACAAATAGAATTTGTTGGTAGAGTTTATATTTTCTTCCAGATTATAGCAGATTCACGAAGTGATTTGAAAGAGTATTTTGTTATCAAACATTACGTTTACATTACAGCTTTTTCATGCATATGGCCTCACACAGTTAATAGTAACCCTTAGCTAGATCCTTGTCATATTAATGATAGGTTTTAAAAAATGCATATAATTTAATCCAATGATATCTTTAGGCCTTATAGGTTTTGCTTACTTATATGCATGAATATAATTTATCTATTTCAGAGTTAAAAAAACAAATGTAAAACATTTTTTTAAAGCCCATGGCTTAGATGTCACCAGGGTTCTACACTGCTGATATGATTGTGAAAAGTTAGCTAACCAATCCTTTTATTTTTCTAAAAAAAAACCAGTTAAAGTACTTAAGAAAAGTTCAGGATAGTTACTTGCTTTTAAAAATGAAATCACATCTTCAGAAAGAGAATCTACAAACTCCATTAGAAACAGAATTTAGAGTCTTGCAAAGCTCTGCTAAAAAGAGAAGAGGGGATCAGAAAAGAGAAATTTCCCAGTAACTGAGTAAATCATTTCTGTTATATTTTATTTCATTGGCCCTTGTATACATCCTACTAGTTGTATAGACCTCGGTCAGAAATGCCATCGCATCTGAAGT